GTTCAGCAGACTGTAGAAATCTTTCCTCCAGCCTGAGTTCAGCAGACTGTAGAAATCTTTCCTCCAGCCTGAGTTCAGCAGACTGTAGAAATCTTTCCTCCAGGCCGAGTCCTAATCAGAGCCACCACTAGAGGGCAGCATAACGCTGTGGATAACTGGAGCTCAACAGCTGTTACTGATCCTTTTCCATCTCATTTTAAAGTTTTATATTAATACAATCCTAAAGATTTAAAGTGATGAAAGTTTTTTTTTTTTTTTTTTTACCAATAAACACTTAACAAAACTCTACATGTTGATTTTATGTTCAAAGAAATCCTGGTTTTATTTCATTTCCCAGCAGTTTTTATTCATTTTTTAAATAAACATTATTTTCCTTTCTAAATCCATGGAGGCTGCAGGGCTGAGAACGTTAGCTTAGCATAAAGCTAACCTGAGGAACACCTAAAAACCGTCCTCCAATCAGGACGCGGGTCCAATCCGGCCCCTCAGGGCAAATTATTCGGCCCTCGGGGGCCAAAAGACCCAAATCATTGAACATTTATTCCTGTTTCATAAAAATTTTAATTTGGAAAAAGAAAAAAGTGCTTTTAAAAAATAGACCTTTGATTCTGTTTTTAAGACCATTTATCAGTTTGTCTGGTTTTTATTTATTTATAGATTTTATTTCTTCCAGTTTTCCCCCAATTTCATTTTTTCAGATTTTATTTTTTATAATTGGATAGTAATGGTTCCTTAAAACTTTTTTACAAAATGAAACCAGACGGAATTCTGGATTATAGAGCAGACTGACCAAGAAAAGGATTCTCAATTTCTGTGAATCGAGAATCTGACTGTAGATCCGTAGATCTACAGTCACAGATCTACAGCTGATCACGTTCTAGATCTACAGCTGATCACGTTCTAGATCTACAGCTGATCATGTTCTAGATCTACAGTCGATCATGTTCTAGATCTACAGTCGATCATGTTGTAGATCTACAGTTGATTATGTTCTAGATCTACAGTTGATTATGTTCTAGATCTATAGTTGGTCATGTTGTAGATCTACAGCTGATCATGTTCTAGATCTACAGTCGATCATGTTCTAGATCTACAGCTGATCATGTTCTAGATCTACAGTCGATCATGTTCTAGATCTACAGTTGATCATGTTGTAGATCTACAGTTGATCATGTTCTAGATCTACAGTTGATCATGTTGTAGATCTACAGTTGATCATGTTCTAGATCTACAGTTGATCATGTT